GAATCACTGCATCCAATATTTCGCCTAGAGGGTGGTGAGGAAGATATGAATACGAGCAGGAGGGGAACCCCAGCCCTGGTCGGGGTCTCAGCCCTCCCTAGGCCAGTACCTTTCCCACTTGTCTCAAGCTCCTGATTGCTGCTTAGAAAGGTCCTTAGCCTCCTGATAGCCCAGAGGACCTCACTATACATCCCCTGGAGAGTCCTCAGGATTTTGCACACCACACCACCACCCCACCCCACCACCCCACCACCCCACCCGGATCCCACTCTCCCAACCACCTACCTGGTTCCTTCATGTGTAAATGTTACTGTCTCTAAGCAGGTCAGGCAGGGGCATGAATCATGATTCCCTCTCCCCTTTAACAGGCTCCCCTGCAGGCTGGACCACCACGCCCAGTTCTGGGTTTCCATTTCTAGGCCACCGCCTGCAATTGGGCCACGTACCTTTCACTGCACCCACATGCATGGCCCTCTCCTCTGAGCAGTAGGTGTCAAAGGCATCCATGACGCTCTGGGGGTCTCCAGGCTTGGCATGCTGCTGCACATAGTTAAGGATGCGCTGCTCCTTTGTGTCACCCATGAGCAGGTTGTGGACTGGCTGCTGCACGAAATCAAAGCAGAAGATGGTTACCAAGGCTCAGCCCAGGCTTCCCAGGAACAGGAGGAAGGCCAACAACAGGAGACCCAGTGAGATGACAGCGAACAGCATCTGCAGGACCAGAGCAGGGAAGACAGGTTTATGTGCTGTGTGCCCTTCCTGCCGCACCCACCACGTGCTCAGCTTAGTACACTCATTGGTCCCTTGTGCTAAAGGAGGGCCAAGGTCCAGAGATTATGCCCACATGACTCACTGGGTCAGAGCCGTGTGGGGGTCGGTGCTTGCTGGCTCGCCAGCTTGTGTGCGTTGTCGGGGAATGTGGTTTCCTGTCGCCGTGTGGTGGCCTTTTGGGTGTTTCTCGCTGCCCTGGGTGCTTTGTGCGGGATGGGTCTGATGTCTTGTCTTTTCCTGGCTTTCTGAGTGTTTGAAGCTTTCTTGGGAGGTGTTTGTGTGTTATGGGTCCCGTGCCCTGTCTTTTCTTAGCTGCAGCTGTTCGTGGGGATTTGTTGGGAGTTGGTTGGTTTTTCTGGAGTGAGACTCATTTTCTTGCTGGGTTGACAGTGTTTTTGGTGATGGGGTGCTATGTCTATGATCTCACTGGGGTGTGGGTCCTTTTTCTGCTGGCTTCATTGCCCCTTTGCTTCCTAAGTGAGGTCCCTCTTGTTCCTTGTCGTTGTTTTTCTTTTTTTTGTGGATGGAATTTTGTGTTTTCCTGGTAGGGCCTGGACTCCTTGGTTGTTTTTTTTGCTTTCTTTTTTGTTGTGGGTTGTGTCTTGTGTGCTGGTGTTGGGCTCTTAATTCTTTTGCTGCCTTGTCTTCCTGGTTTGTTGTGCCATGTTCTGTGTTTTGGTCTTTTCTTTGGTTCATATTTCTTTTTGGGGCTGTGCTTGGCTGTGTGTGGTTCCTTGTCTGCTTTTTTTGTCCTTTTTCTGGTCCGTCTTTTGTTGAGTGATTGTCTTGGTGTGTGCCCCGTTAGTCCCTTGGGTGTGTTCTGGTCTTGGTTGTCGTCGTTGTGTTTGGTGGTTGTCTTGTTGTAGTGCCATATTGTTTTTGTTGTATGTTCTTGGATCGAGTTGTGTGGGGGTCAGCTCTATTTGCGGCTTCTCTGGGGTGTTGGGGTGGTGGTGGTGGGCTTTGTTGTCCTGTGCTTTTTTTGCACACGAATGGCCCCGAGTTCTGCTCCCAGTACAAGGTGAGTGTGAGTGAATACGATCACACACACTCACCTTCTAGCAAGCAAGAGCTGGGGAGAGGAGCCCAGGATCTAATCGACAAAGCTCGACAGATTCCACACTGACACTGAGCAGAGTTCACTATTCACGGCACGAGCTCGTGATTTATACCACAAACTCTAAACAGAAAGACACAGGAAGGACCCAGAGACACTTCCACCAAACACTCTGTGGCCATTTACAGTTCCTTCCAGAGCAGGCACTGACCTCAGCTGGGAAGGCTTGTGGAAGTCTTAAAGGAGGCAGGCCCAAGCCTAGGTGTGATGGCTGCTTCAGGACAGTCTCAGGAGAGAGCAGAAGTGACCCAAAGCTGAGGGACCATGGGCACTGACCCACTGACATGACCCAAAGCTGAGGGACCATGGGCACTGACCACTGACATGACCCAACTGAGGGACCATGGGCACTGACCACTGACATGACCCAAAGCTGAGGGATCATGGACACTGACCCTTTGACATGACCCAAAGCTGAGGGATCATGGGCACTGACCACTGACATGACCCAAAGCTGAGGGATCATGGGCACTGACCACTGACATGACACTGGCTTCCTTTCACTGCTTTCTAGTGGCTTAGATTTCCTAACCCATGCTTGGGTGTCATAGTTTATGCTGTCCATTATCCTTACTAGAAGGAGCTTGTGAGTGGTGAGACAATGAGCTATTTTGTTCTATCTGTCTGTCTGTCTGTCTATCTGTCGATCTGTCTAGCTCTGTAGTGTGTAACATAACATGTATAACGATTTAAAAACTGGTGGCACAGGGAAAGGCTGGGATGCAGTTCAGCTGGCAGAGCACTTGCCTGGAGTTCATAAAACCCTGGTTCCAGGCCACACCAGCGTAGCATGGTGGCACAACATTCAGGAGGTGAAGACAGAGGTCAGAAGTTCAAGATCATCCATGTGAGTTAAAGGACAGCCTGGAAAACATAAGATCCAGTCTCAAAAGGGGTGGGGTAACAAGGAAGACCCAGAAAACCTTGTAGGAAAGTGTCTTAACAACATCAGTTATGGTTACTGAGGAAATTCATATCAAAGCCAGGCTGGAAAGAGTACTTCACTGTCACTGAAATGGCTTTTTTCTGGGTGGGACACCGGGGATCGGGCACAAGGCTTTACTGGGCTACACTGCCAGCCACTTACCTTGAGACAAGTTGCCATTAAATTGCCCAGGCTGACCTTGAATGTACTCTCTAGCCCAGGCAAGCCTTAAAATATACTTCCTGACTCAAACCCAAGTAGCAGGAGCCTGCAACACCAGGCTTGTATTTTTTCTGTATTTTAAAGTAAGATAATAAAGTTGGCTAAAATATGAAAACATTGGAACCCTTGCACACTGCTGAGATGAAAACTGGTGGAAAAAGTGTACTGATTGCTCCAGAGCCATCCCAAGAATCACCACGTGACAATGCTGTGCAGCCTGAGCTGAGAGCAGGGCTGTGTCTGCTCTTGTTACCAGCACGTGACTCACAGAAGCCCAAAGTGGAAGCAACCCCAAGCTTCTCTCAGCTGAAGAACGTCAGTTGTCCAGACACAGAATAGCAAATACCACAGGAGTCCACTCCCAGGCGGGAAGCAGATCAGCCACTGGGGCTGAGGAAGGGGGGAATGTTCAGTGGGTTCAGAGTTACAGAAAGTCGAGAAAGTTTTGGTAACAGTTTCGGTAACAGTTTCGCAGTTGTGAATGCCCTTTGTGCCAGACAGATGGCCAAGTCTGATGTTTGTATCTTAAACTTATTTACAAAATTGCCAGGGGGTACACTGAAAAGGGATGTTAATCATCTGCTTAAAGGCTGTTTATGCTGAACCCTGAGCTCTGTACAGCTCATTCAGTGTGTGTTTAACACACTTCTCCAGCTTGTCCGAAAAAAACAAGTTCCTGGATGTGAGAAACTTGATCTTGATGCTTGATAAAAAACCCGGCGCACCCATGCCCACATTAAGGTCTGGGTTAGATTCTTCACTGTAGTCAACTACTGACTTTGGGTTAGTACAAGGAGAAGGAAGCTGAGCCAGTTATTCTTCAGATGAGCTTTATTAAGAGAACGCCTCAAGCCGGGTGGTGGCGCACGCCTTTATTCCCAACACTCGGGAGGCAGAGGCAGGTAGATCTCTGTGAGTTCAAGGCCAGCCTGGTCTACAGAGTGAGATCCAGGGCTACACAGAGAGCCTGGAAATGGGGCTGGGAGTAAATCCCGGGCATTCTGACAACATTGGGAGCGACAGCATTGAATGGAAGAGAGGAAGGCATGATGTACAGCCTGGGGTGTGAACCAGGCCTGGACTGAACCATGAACTTCCCTTACAGCTGTGGGGGGATGGGCTGCCAGGCCCCAGCAGGGCTCCTGAAGTTCTTGGCTAAGAGGGAGAAGGTCTGGAAGGAGAGAAAAAGACAGGAAAGGACAGGGAGGAGACAGGGAAGACCGAGCTTGGCAGTGCACACAGGAGGTGGAGGGTCAGGAGAGAGTTCCAGGCCTGGTCTACACAATGCATTCCAGGCCATCCAGTGCTGCACAGTGACACCTGACTCAAAAGCCCCAGGGCCACATGAGATTGTGTTTTAGAACAGGTGGAGACCAATTACCTCCATGATAGCCTCCAGGCAACATTCCCATCCCTAGTGCTTCCGGGTGCCTCCAGCTGCCATCTTTTTTTAAGATTTATTTATTTATTATTATGTATACAGTGCTCTGTTTGCATGTATCCCTCCAGGCCCAAAGCGGGAGCCAGATCTCATTTGAGGTGGTTGTGAGCCACCATATGGGTGCTGGGAATTGAACTCAGGACCTCTGGAAGAACAGCCAGTGTAGATGTAACCAACCGTCTTATTAAATAAGAAACACAGAAACAATGTAAAAGAGAAAGCCAAGAGGTCAGAGCTCAGAGCTAAAATCTCACCCTTCTGCCTGCGGTGTCCCAGCTTCTGGAAAGAGAGCTATTCCTTTGTGTGTCAGTTGTTTCCCTAGTCATTCTGCCTTCTCATTGGTTGTAAACCCGAACACGTGACTGCCTCGTCACTGTCTGAATGTACAGCCCCCTAGGTCTTAAAGGCATATGTCTCTAATGCTGGCTGTATCCCTGAACACACAGAGATCTATGGGATTAAAGGCGTGTGCCACCACCGCCACACTCTGTCTATGGCTCTAATAGCTCTGACCCCTGGGCAACTTTATTTATTAACATACAATCAAAATCACATTTCATTACAATTAGAATACCACCACAAGTCAGTGTTCTTAACCTCTGAGCCATCTTAACCCTCCAGCTGCCATCTTAAGAAGGAACAGCAGTAATGGAGTTTGGACTCTAAGGTTGCAAATACCACCTGAGCTTTCTCTGTGTGGAAGTCTCTAGGCAGGCTGCTGCTGCATCCCTCTGCATCCGGACACAGGCTTTCCGAAGGGTCCCCTGCATTCCACAGGGTGCACTCTGCCTCAGATCAGATCTGTTTCCTCCAAGATCAGGATGCTCTTTGAGCAGCAGGGAGGCCAGAGAGCGACTTGTGGGTAATCATGGAGCAGGAATCCCAGGCCTGGCCTTAGGACAGGTCCTGGGGCCTGGCACACCTCTCACTGCCAAGCAGTTCTCTCCTCTGTAAACTGAGGCGAGATGCCCCCAGATCCTGCAGGACTGAAGAAGGCAAGGCAGGACAGGTTACATAGCACCTGGTACCTGCTGGCCGGCCACAGACATGCCCAGGAAGCACAGAGCATCCATCCAAGACGTGGGTAGTCTGGCCTAATGAGCCAGCCCCTGGGACAGCAATAAGCCCAGCTTAGATGCCTCCAGCACTGAGCAAGCATGGGCCCCACACCCACACCAACTCATGCACATAACACACACACACACACACACACACACACACACACACACACACACACAATCCTCAAATGAATAAGGCTGAGATGTAGCTCATGTCTAACGTCTGAGGCTCTGGATTCAGTCTTTAGTATGCCATAAAACTGGGTATAATGAACCCACATATACCCAGTTCCCAACACTCGAGGGGGAAGGCAAGGGAATCCAAAGGTCATCCTCAGCTATGTAGCACATTCCAGACTTGCCTGGGCTCCATGAGAACCTGTCTCAAAGCCTCCTCAGTGCCCAGGGCAGGGCTCTGCTTTCTTCTCATAGCTTCTGCTTTCTTCTCGGCTTTCTTCTCAAAGCCAGCCCCTCGTGTGATCCAAGGCCTCTGTTCTGCACAGCGCTTTCACGGTGCAGCTGATCCTGCCCCACCACAGGATGCTTGAGAGACCCAGTATGAGGGGCCTCCAGAGAGGATGGTGAAGGCCAGAGAGGGCTTGGCAGGCCAGTGGGGGTGATGTTCTCTATCTGGGAAGCTGCAGTTCCAGGCAGCTCATGGGCTGGTGACCAAGGAGGACCCCAGCAGCTGTCCTGTTGGCCAGGCCTGGTTCCCCACCACCTAATCCACTGCCTTGTCCCAATTCCAAAAGAATGAGTTCTCACCCCACAAGTTTTCTCTTCCTGGTTCCCTCTTCTAATTCACTGCTCAGCTAATGGTTACATAACCACCACAGAGCTGGAGTCCAGGGATCATCCAGTAAGAAACTGTAACAGTTAAAAGGTATTCACGCCCCCAGACCCAAAAGTGTCTGGCTCTGCAAAAAGAGACTTTAAAATAACATTCTATCACTGTTAAATGCTCTCAACAACCTGTGTCTCCTGGATACTAAACCAATAAAGGAAACAGGTGCCTTAAAATAATCTGCCTCTGATAAAGCTTATCTCAGGTTAAAAAAATTAAAAACATGCTCCAATCTCTCTGTCTCTCTCATTAATGCTAACCAGTACAAGCAGAGATCCAAACACTACAATGGTCATCAGCCCAAGACTTTAATTTTCTCATGGCTGATTCATAATATGTTCAAAATTTTTGTAAGCTCCAGAAACCAGCTTGAATCCATCTGGACAGGTCGATCTACTTCAGATAAGTGCAACCCAAAAACCTGGTCCTGGGACTCCTCTTCCCTCACCCTGGGACCTCCCTGAAGGTAATTTTTTTTTTCTTCTAAGCTTTTCTCTGTCTCACCTGTCCATCAGAAAAGCAGCCAGAGTGCCAAGCCAATGATGAATGGCTCTGAGGTAGCAGATGACAGCCCACCATGCCAGGACCCGTCTACCTCAGAAGCCCCCTTCCCTACCCACCAAGAGTCAACTGACGCCCACCAAGTCAGCTGGAAGCAGTTTTGGGGGAGAAACAGCACCTCTATTCCTGTTCACCTGCTTTTTTATAATAAGCAAAAAGTCTAGAATGTTAGGATTCTGCCCTTACTCCAGCTGCATGACCACACATGCGCAGTTCAGGAGTTAAGCAAAGGGTCTTGCAGTTTATGTCACCAGTGTGTGCTGGTGATCACGTACTCAAGGTGTGGTCACACGATCTGTGCCTTTAAGAGCCATGACTCAGACCACACCCACTCTCTCACTCTGTTCTGCTCTGTCTCTTCCACACAATCTTTCCCGATCCTCGCACCTGCTTTTTCCCCAGGCCTGGTTCTTCTCCCCCACCTCTCTTTATCCTAATAAAGCTCTAAAACTAATACTGGGTTCTGTCGTGACTATGACTTTTCCACTCGGTAACCAGCGCCACCACCATCACCGCATATCATTCATTTCAGCTGGCCCTGGTCAAAAATCAATATATGACAATAAAACCACAGGAACAAGGGCTGGAGAGCAGTTGGTCGCAGTGCTTTTAATCCCAGCACTTGGGAGGAGAAGTACACCGATCTGTACATGAATTCCTTTTCTTTTTTTTTTTTTCTCCAGTTTTTTGAGACAGGGTTTCTCTGTGTAGCTCTGGCTATCCTGGAACTCACTCTGTAGCCCAGGCTGGCCTTGAACTCACAGAGATACACCTGACTCTGCCTCCCTAGTGCTGGGATTAAAGGTGTGCGCTACCACCACCTGGTTATGTAGATGCATTTCTAAATGGTCTTAGTAAATAAGAAAAAAAAAAAAAGAGTCAATATAGGGGTGAAAGCCAGTTCCTTCCTGTCTACCCACACCTTTATTGCCTCGCTGTTCTGCCCTTTCATTGGCTATCTCAGCCCAGCTACCTCATTCCCTCTTCCTATACAGCTCTGTCACTTTCTGTCTGTCTGCACAGACCTCTAGGCCTCTATGGTTGGTACTGGGATTAAAGACGTGTGTCACCACACTTGTGTCTGTTCCCCAGTGTGGCCTTGAACACACAAGGCCCTGCCTGCTAAGTGAAAGAATTAAGGGCGTGCTGCCTGACTTCTTGTTTACTTAAAATGGCTGGCCTTTCCCCCCTGATCTCTAGGCAAGCTTTATTTATTAATATACACATAGTATATCGCCACATTTCAGCACAAATAAAATATCACCATACTGATCTTTGTGAGTTCAAGACCAGTCTGATCTCCATAGTGACCAAAAACCTCCAAAAATAAAAAATTAAAAATGAAAAAAGAATTAAGGACATGGAACTGAGTAAAAAGGAAGGAAGACTTAGGCTTGAGTGCTGTCATACAGCACATTGCTACTCCATAAAAGTTTCTATTATTTGGCTGGGCGGTGGTGGCGCACGCCTTTAATCCCAGCACTCGGGTGGCAGAGGCAGGTGGATCTCTGTGAGTTCGAGGCCAGCCTGGTCTCCAAAGCGAGTTCCAGGAAAGGCGCAAAGCTACACAGAGAAACCCTGTCTCGAAAAAGTTTCTATTATTCATCAGGTGGTTATAAAAAGAAGCTGGTGGGCTGGAGAGATGGCTCAGTGGTTAAGACTACTGGCTGCTCTTCCAGAGGTCCTGAGTTCAATTCCCAGCAACCACATGTGGCTCACAACTATCTATAATAAGAGCTGGTGCCCTCTTCTGGCTTGCAGGGATACCCGCAGGCAGAATACTGTATACGTAATAAATAAATAAATAAATCTTGAAAGAAGAAGAAGGAGAAGCAGCAGCAGCAGCAGCTGGTTTCTCTTGAGCTATCCATGACTCCTAACTATTCAGTCAATTATACTTTGTTAAACTAAATCGAAACATTTATCTCTTCTTCATTGTCTGATCCCTCCAAATATCAAACTTGTCAAGTGCTTCCTTTCATGGTAAACATCCTTGCACAGATTTAATGGGATCTGTGTTCTCCCAAGCACGACACAAGTGCGAACTTCAGGAGAGGGTGGCAGACAGGAGTATCCCTTTGGAGAATGATTACCCAGATGCAGGGAGCGCCAGAGGGCTTTAAGGAACTAAGTCTGAATCTCTTGAGCCAATGTTTACAAAGCCCTCTTGAAAAACCTCGATGGCCGAGAGGTCACAACTTAGCAAGCTCCAAGTTAGCAAGGTACATGAAGAGATTGTCTCAAAACAAAACAACTCCATGTTGTAGTTTAAAACAAACAATTATGCACCAAACCATGGGATATGGTGGTGCACAGCTTTGATCCCAGCTCCCTGGGTACAGGTAAATCTCTGAGTTCAAGGCTAGTTTACAGAGTGAGTTCCAGGACAGCCAGGACTACACAGAGAAACCCTGTCTGTCAAAAAAACAAAGTAACAAGCAAGTAAATATATAAAAAGAAAAACTTTCTGATTATATTAGAATTGGCCTGCTTATTCATACCAGTACAGTAAGAATAGTAATTGGTCTCAGAGGTCCACAAAGAATTTTAAACTTTTCAAAAGCCTCTGAAGGCTCAAAAGTGTCCTAGAATCTTCCATCAGACCTCAATGCAGTATCCATAAATTTGGGTGTACCTTGTTCTTATTGAGGTCAAAGTATCCTGAGGTTGCTGTGCCTGCCTTGAACTCACAAAGACTTGATTGCTTCTGCTTTCTTAGTGCTGGAATTAAAAGTATGCGTAGCTACAAACCTTTTTTATTTTTATTTATGTGTCTGTGTGTGTGTGCCCAAAGAGAAGAGGGCTTGGATCTCCTGGAGCTGGAGTTACAGGTAGTCATGAGTCACCTGATCTGGGTGCTAGAAAACAAACTCAGGTCCTCTAGAAGAGCAGCATTTGCTCTTCACCCCGATCCATCCCTCAGAACCCAGAGTTTTTGTTTTGGTTTTTGAGACAGAGTTTCTCTGTGTAGCCCTGACTGTCCTAGAACTTGCTCTATGGACCAGGCTGACCTCAAACTCAGAAGTCTGCCAGTCTCTGCCTCCTGAGTGCTGAGGTTAAACATGTGCACCATCACCACAGGCTTAGAATTCTTTTTTAAACAGTAATCATAGGCTGTGGTGTAGCTCAGTGGTACAGAGGGTTAGCATACACCAAAGTCCTGGGTGCAATCCCAGCACTGTGCAGAAGTCAAAATGCTGCTTTACCTTTGATCAAAAGGGAGGTGATTTGTGCAGCTTCTCAGATTCTCAGTTCCCTTTCTGCTCCCATCTTCTCCTGGGGCTTGGACTTGCTCCATAGCCAGGACTGGCCTGAGTTCCTGAGCCTCCTGCCTCTACCTCCCAAATGCAGTAATTCAAGCATGACTGCTATACATCTTCATGCCCAGATTCAGATTCTGAGGATTTATGACCTACCTCTGCATCGGGTTTCATCCTATTTTCTTACATGCTGTATTGATTTTTTTGGGTGTTGGTGGAGTCCATGTAGCCCAGAGTAGCATCAAACTTGCTATGGAGATGAGGATGACATCCAATTTCTGATCCTCCTGCTTTACATTTTGGGTGCTGGAAATAGAGACATATCTCACCATGCCCAGTTTCATTAAGTGTTTGAGAGAATCCAGGGTCTCATATGCATGCCAGGCAAGCACTCTACCCTTCTCAAGTCAGGAAA